TGATTGCTTTGCATCACCAGCAGATTTGATGTTAAGATTAAACATGGCGCGCGAATCTCACACAATACAGTGCAGGCACTCTTGCATGCATGGCCCACATTTTTGACTTGTACTTGCTGTTGCTTTCTAGCGACCCGGCCATGATCTGGTGGGCAGCGGGCCCGCTTTGATCTATATCGTTCTAAGACTCTGAGCTGCATCACAGGCAAGAATGCTGCCAGCCACAACCCCCCCAAACACAGTACTTGAGAACATGCGTATATTTCATGGCAAGTACAGTTTAACACTACACATTGACCGTGATTCAAGTGGTAAAAGCATTCATTCAATGAGTACAGGGCTCAAGCGGTCTATGGCAGCAAGCTTGCACACCCCAAAACCACAAAGCTGAAATGCTTTGCCCCGAAACTTGAAAAGAGTGTAAGCTCATTTGGCTTTTGGTTCCTTCTTCTTACCCTGCTGCTTTGCAGGCTTCGCTGATCGGTCATACTCCTCGATCTTGGAATTCAAGATCTTAGTTTGATCCGCCATGAGCTCAACCTCATCCAAGCCCAACGAATCAAAGACCGAGGATCGACGACGATAAAAAAAATGTAAAACTCGATATATTCTAGATCGAAGAATATGATCTAAATTATATATTTTGTATTCAGCGTCAACTGATTTAGTTGTGGAATGTCGGTTTAATGTGTGATATGACACGTTTCACGCTGGCTTGCTTCGCCTTGTCATCATCCAAGGATTTCTGCAAGGCTGCGCGTGCTTCCTGCATGCCGAGAATAGCCGCCTGAGGGCAATGGGGATACAGCAGGTTGATTTATACTTGTTTCCCGGACATGAGTTTTTAAATAAATCTGATCAACGAGATTTACTATCGTAGTCTTGCTAAGCTATCCGGCGCAGTCAAAAAATAACACGGCCTGGATGTCACTGATCACAGCTGTACGTAGGTTGGCCCCCCCTCAGAAAGCTGTCGATGAGTTTCGCGTGAGAGACCTATAATTTTTCTTTTGGAAAGCTGGGCCCGGGGAGGGTTCTGGAAGTGCTACTGTACTGGTGAGGGAAAGTATGATGAGGCCGAGGGATTGGCAACTTCTCTGCGTGGCCAAGGACTGTCACGGACTCCTTGATCTTGCGCCCTGCAGCATCAATCGCCTGGCATCGCTGATGGGAGAAGTCTTTGGAGGCTGGGCGATTGGGGAACAACACGGATGATGGCAAATGCATGGGCCCACCTTCTTACCCTCTGAGTCTGCTCCTGATCCTTATTTTCCTTGCCCTTGTCGTCCTTTTCCGTTTCACCCTTCTTCTTGTTCTTTCCAGACTTCTTTGTTTTTTTCTCTTTCTTGTTTTTTTTTAGTCTTCTTTCCACTACGTTTCTTGTCTTTCTTCTTGGACTTGGGCTTCTTCTTGTCCTGCGCGCTATCAAACTTAAGTCCCAACAAAGCCAAATTTATAATCTTCACCATGGAACGACATCCCCACGCATGAATGTTAAATTCACACCACGGTCGGGTGTCCTTCGATCCACTGGAGCCCGAATCGGAGTCACCTGAAGAGTCAGCGTCACTGCCAGAGTCCGAATCTTCTGCAGCAGCGTACAACTGCGAAATTGACTCCGAGTGCTCTTCGATTTCGACTTCTGTGTCGAGGACGAGGTATTGGATGAGCTCCTGCAAGACCATGCAGACTATACATTAGAAGCGACTATCGAAATGACTATATATAGACTATAGAACAACAAATCCAAATTTGACACATATTAAACTAATCCAGACTGTTCAGCTCGATCCTTACACCCGGGAGCTTCGGGATGCTCTCGAATCTCCCGAGCAGCTCTCTCTGCATCTTCTTGTTTGTGCTCCACCAAGGCAGTGGCTCCCGCCACCCCGTAGCGCTCGACAAGCTCAGGCCAAATCATCCACCTACGAGTGCCTCTACGCTTGGACTTGTCCTTCGACACTGCGTTCAAATACAGGTTGCTTTTGGTCCATTTGCCAGCGCATTCTGTCCAGGCCTCATACAGGGTGTCCATGAGATCTTTGCCTCGGAGTCAGGCAGACAATTTTTCACTAGGAGTTTTGAAAGACTTTGAGGATCTAACGGCCGACGGCTTTGTTGCCCATTCGCTTGATCGCCTTTGGCGTGTCAGCTCCATCTCGCACGGATCGGAAGAACCGCATGTACCTGGCATGGGCAGCTTTCCTTTTTCTCTCCATCTCCTCAAGCTTCTTAATCTCCTTTGAGGCTTTCTCTGAGCCCTCGTTCTCTGGCTTTTTGCCATCTTGATTCTTCTCCTCACTTGGCTCTTTTGGCTTCTGCTCTTTGCCATTCTCTTTCTTCTCCTCGGAAACCTCATGTGTCGTTTTTTCTCTTGATCCTTCTGCTCTGGCTTCGTGCCATCCTTGCTCTCCTTGGAAGGTTCACTTGTTGGTGTCTCTTGGTCCTTCTGCTCTGGCTTTGTGCCATTCTTGCTCTCCTCGGAAGGTTCACTTGTCGGTCTCTCTTGGTCCTTCTGTTCTGCCTTCGCGTCATCCTTGTTGTCCTTGGTGGAAGCGTCACTTTTCTGTGTCTCTTGGTCCTTCGGCTTTGGCTTCGTGCCATCGTTGCTCTCCTCGGAAGGTTCACTTGTCCGTGTCTCTTGATCCTTCGGCTCAGGCTTCTTGCCATCCTTGTTCCCCTTGGTAGGTGTCTCTTGGACCTCCATCCTGTCGGCAACTCCATCCATCTTTTCTGGGGCCTCTGCTAGAGCCTCGCCTGTGTTGGTGAAGAACTGACTGTCGCCCTTCGCGCCACCATCCTTCGTATCTTGCGGCAAAATCATCTCCACGTCACTGTCCAACAAAGGTGAGGCCTCATAGTGCTTCAGGTTGTCCAAGGTGTTGGGTCGCTGAAGTCATTGCTGGCTTTCCCAGTTGTCAAGATTGTCCAAGTCCTCGGCAGCAAAGTACTCCCAAGTGTCCGAATTGTGCCATGTGAACTGATCACTAGTGTTCACGTTCCATTGATTCTTCTTGTTGCCGTCGTTGGGAAAAAAACTGCCACTGGTCATCGTAGTACTCTGTGCGATCAGGATTGTACACATCATAACTGTTCTTCTTCCACATCGTGTAGCCATTGTCATACCACGAGTGAGTCCTTGTATTGTCCCAACCCCAACTGTCCCAATCCTGCCCTTCCCATTCCCATTCCTGAGACTGAGGGAGCGTAGGAGCCACCTCGGTAATTGTTACCCCACCATTCCTGGCTGGTGTGGCAACTGGCTGTTGTGCCCGTTTGGCTCTTTTGACATCCTCCTCATGTCTCTCCTGGTCCTCGAGATCCAATCTCCTCTTTAGCTCTGCGACTTCTTGAAAGGATTTCTCGAGGGCCCTTGGAGTAGCTGGGATAGTCTCTTGCGAGTCCATACTTGACAGGCCACCTGGCCAAATGGTCAACAACTATACCAAAAACATAATTCGGGATGAACAGACTGCCAAAAACGACTAGTGTAAGGACGGTTCTCTGGATTGAGGAGTGTGCGGATATGACAAATACGATTCGTTTGATATGTTTTGGTAGTAGTAAATGGGCTTTAGTGAGCGCTAGCCTTGACCACCAGATCTAGGCGATGGTGTAGGGGGCCTCAATGTGTCACCACAATGTCCATGTATGATCGATTGAAGCCAAAAAATTTTCTCAGCTTCTGACGCGATACAGGCTGCCTTGGCTGCTCGAGCCTTTGCCTTTGCAATCGCGTCTTGGACAGCGTCGGGCATCGAGAAAATGCTTTAGGAAGTACTGCAGCCTGCTTTTGAGCCAAGTTGGAACAACATAATCATCAAAAAGGCTAGCTTGATTGTTGCAAAAAAACATGGGTTTTGTGGACCCAGAATTCACGGGCCGTTCACGCAAATTTGTGGCCGTTCACGCTATTTTGCGGCTGTTTCACGCTCATTCACGGTAGTTCACGCTACTTCGGTCCAGCCACTTTCTGGAAGGGTTTGAGCAAATTAGACGAGGAACCAAAATTGAGAGCACAGGCTGGAGGGATTTAGCAAACTCCATCATACGAGTCTTGAGTGAAGCCCTTCCGTGTGACATGGCTTATTAATTTCCATACCAACACCGTTGTATATGTTGGAAAAGGCATTCAGGCAACATGAATTTGCATTTCAAGTGTAGATCACACCGTGATTCAAAACACGGGCTTGTAAGAACCCTCTCGAATCTGATTCTTCACGTAAGACCTCAGCTCCCCCAGCTTCCCACGGGCGAAGAACTTGTAGACGCCGCCAGGTACCTGGAAGAATTGGAATTTCAAAGGGTTGGGACTCATGCCAAGCCTGAAACCTTTTTTTGGGTTGGAGACCAAAATGCAATATCTCGGCCTTCTGACATGGAACTTTCCCAGCCGCTGCAATGGATGCTCGTAGCGCACACCCATTCTTGGCCTCCACGCGTGCGCTTAACTAGAAAGACCTTGTATGAGAGGATTGGTGCCTTGTAGTGAGCATGCAAAGCATAGACCCCACGTGCAAACTTCATCGTATATACCTGTGTCATCTTCAGCTTGGGTCCACCCTTCCTCAAACAGCAAATGGCAGTGTTGAGATTCTCAAACCAATCATGGGTGTGTTGCAAAAATCTGGTTGGATGAGCCCCTCACACTCCCGGCTTCCCATTCGTTTTGTTCACCGTCTTGACCGCCACACCGTTTGAGCAAAGTGAGGCCCGGCGCGTCTTTGTCAGCTTCTTCTTCAGGGAGTGGATCCAAGGACTCAGCGTGAATTGCCGTGAACAAGCGTGAAACAACCCCAGATTTGGGTGAACGACCACATTTGGGCGTGAAGAGACCGTGAAATCTGGGCACCCTGCCAAAGACCAAGTGCCATGCTTGGCTTCAACGTTTTGGCGCCCCAACATCCCATAAAACTGAGCGGCAGTCTTGTTACTTGTTGTCCGATTTCAGCAAGAACACAGGCTGACATGTTTTTTTCATGTGGGAACTTAGGAAAGGGCAATCTCACAAAGGATGTCTCGTGAACGAACTTGTTGAGCAGGTCCAACAAGTAAAGAAGTTCAGGGTGGTGAATCAGCCGGCTGCTTCCAGGCTGTTCAATGAACCAGAAACAAGACCTCACCGAAAGCAGCATGAGGACGAAGATGAGACGGGTTGTAAGCCTGGGCTGGACGACTGGCGCTGCGCTGGTCACTTGCTTGGTCACATTGACGGAAACTTGGCAAGTATGCTGCTGCTCTTGAAGTACAAATTGCAAACCCACTCTACTATAAAAAATATGCTAAGAGCAGTACCAGGAACAAGTTTGCAGTGCAAACATAGCTTTTGTTTTCGTCCCCGTATGGTACAGCCTTTTTCCGGCCATGTGTGCCACTGTTAATGAAAACGTAGGACGTACATGGAAGGCCGCATACGGCCAGCGCGTCCTCTTCCAAGCGCAAGGCCATGTGGAGCAAGTTTTTGAAGCCTTGCCTGAGCACGGATGATCCGATAGTGAAGAAACAATTAATAGGGCCAACTGTTGCGTAGTTGTCCCTATTTTTTTGTAGCTGGTATATACTCATGGGGCCCAGACGTCGTGGATAGGTCACAGTGCTCTCCAAGTTCCACGTCATACTTCTCCCTCAATTGGCAACATTCAATTTAATCAGACCCCGAGTGAGAAGCAATTTAATATTGAAGTAGCAGAAAAAGAAGTGCCACTCGTCCAGAAAGGTGTTTTAAGATTTGTTGAGATCTTGGGACATCTCAGGTTCCCGCGACTTCCTGGACTTTTCGCCTCATGCGGTCAAAATCTCCAAGCCACTTGGTCCATTGGTGGGATCACCAGCAACAAGAGTTCTGCAGGCATGCTTCCCACTTTTTTTTGGAAAACTGTTGTTGAGGGCACGGCCCCATGCAGTAGACATAGCAGCAGCGCCACAGAAAATATCCAGAAGCTTCAAATCCTTGGTACGTGGCAGGAAGTTTTGGTCTGGTTTG